AAATAGAACACTCTCCGGGACTGCAGTGGCCCTACAGGTCTCTATTATATTTTTATTTCACAGGGCCCTTTGCCATGACCCTGGCAATCTCAATATTGCAGCCTCAACTCTTCCCCAGAGTAGTGGCCAAAGAGCTCAATGACAAGAAGATCTGAAAGCAAACTTGAGAGAGATGGGGGCTACTTAGAGGTAAAATATGAGGAAGAAGCCAGGGAAGATATTGGTGCATTTGTAATGCGGGAACAGGGGCGTTCAGTGATTTTCAGGGCGTGTGCGGGCTGCCCACTTGTTTTCCCGCCCGAGGTTATAAGCTTGCAAGGGCGAGCTCACTCCTCTGCTCCCAAAGATGAAAGGCGCTTGAGGAATGATTCTTTACAGTCTGGTTTATTAGACAAGATAAAGGGCTCCCAGACAAGATAGCAGGACGACAGTGAAAAGATAGTTCTGAGGAATTAGAAGAAAACCCAAGATAAGAGGGGGTAACGTGAAAGAAGAGGACACGGTAGGTCAAGAGGAGGAGGAAAAATCCAACTTTGCAGCTATTGTCCACATGCATGAGCATTGTGACTCTTCTCAATAAGAACAGTGTTCCGCGCTCCACAGAACATTTAGGTAAATTCTTGCATGGGTGGAAGGAAATTCATGAGAGCCTCAGGGGGGGCAGGTGCAGCATGGCATATGGAGGCTCCCTACTGAGAGGCTCAGGGTGGCTGTTTGTAACATAACAAGCAGACAAGAGTCTTTCTGGAACGCATATCCAAGAGGAAGTGACAAAGAACCAATCATGGAAAGAACACAAGCAGGCAGGACGTGGATACTGGGAAAAAATTCTGAGACACACAAACTGGGGTGTAGAACTCCGGTGGGCAGGACATTTCGATGGGGGCCAAAGAAGATAAGTAAGTGATGAGTTTAGTTGTCAAAATCGCAGCTGCCCCACCATGGGTGGGACAAGACTGATTTTTTTTTTCATTCCAATCAGATGGAAATGTCAACACCCCAAAAGAGGAAGCTTAACCAGAAGAGTCCTACTATCCCTAAATGTCCTACTAATTAAAGGTGAGATTGTTCAGTGATCTCCACAGTTGGCATGTAGGGCTCTTGCTGCTATGTGGTGAGTGGAGAATGGTGGACAAAAACGGTAAGGTGCTCTCACCTCCTTTATCACCTCCCATTGAGGCAGGAATCATGAGCCCTTGATACGTCACTTTCTGGACACTAGTACAATTCTCTGTGTGTTTTCTAGTAGAAACAACGAAAGGAAGCTGGCATGATTACTCTACACAGAGTTTTAAAAGGAACCTTGAAGCCATTATAGATTCTCATTCTTCATGGCACCACCCAGTTTTTCTTCCAGTAAAGGGGGCAAGCGTTTTGGTTTAACCTACTTAGGAATGACAGACAATAGGCACCGTCTGTTAATTCCAGCTGCTTCTCATAAGAAAGGAAAATCTGTCACATGGTGATGTCAGAAGGCCTCAGGATCATAAAAATTTTTCCCAGAGGGTCTCCTAAAATAGGAGAAACAACCAGAAGTCATTTTGGTTTAGGTAACTGAATACAGAATACTCCTCCAGCTGCAGAGATAAATAACGCTTTCCCAATATAGATGACAAACCTTTCTCAGAATCCAGCCATAGCAGCGGTATGAAGAATCCTGATATCTCCTGAAAGCTCAACTCTATTACATGCAGAACATCAAATAGATTCCTGCCTTGTCCTGCTGACAGTTTTATCTCTCAAAAGGTAGAGAAAGCAATTAGGGAAGCCGCTGTTCTTGACATAATTCTGACCATCAAGAAAGAGCCAGCTGGCAATGTGTAAGTGGCGGGGATCTCCCAAGTGACCGCCTCATCCCGGGATTTGTAATAGCTTGGGAAGGGGACACTGCACGTGGGTGGACGTGGTTATCTCTCACGGCCAGAATCTACAAAGAGAAAGCAGGTATGGCTCCTGCCTTCCAAAAGTTTCTCTTTACATGAAAGATAAATAAAATTCAAGGGCATTTTATCAGGGACAAAAAGAGGCAAAAGGGCCAGTGTTGCAGAAGTTTGAGGAGGAAGGTCTCGTGGCGTTGGACAAGGTGAGCAGAAAAGGTCTGCTATAGAAATCTGACTTAAACTCACTTATGGAAGGTGATGGATCAGATAAGGAGCGTCAGAGACTGATTGTGTGTGTGTGAGAGAGAGAGAGAGAGAAGGAGAAGGAGGAGGAGGAGGAGAAGGTGGAGGAGAAGGAAGGGAGGAGGAGAAG